TTTATATATATATATATATATACATATATATATATATATATACATATATTTTTTTTCATGTATTATATTTTCCTTTTTTTTACAGTAGACAGAATTATTATAGTTTGGTGACGGTGTCGAATTGTAATGTGATGTCGAAGATCACAGAGGAGAAGAATGTAGAAAGGAAGAGGAGAAAAAAAAACAGCATCGGTGGATTTGATTAGTATGGAAATGATTTTGTAGAAAAAGACATTTTTGTGTTTGTGTCGAACTAACTTTTCTGATGTGACGTCTTCTTGGTAATAAATCACTGCAGATAATATGCAAATGTTCCACAGACATCAGTCTTTTATCTTTGTCCTCTGCCAAGGACGGGAAAAGACATCATCTTGACTTGTACATCTCTTTTATATTTGCTGTTGAAAACATATAAAGACAGACTGCTAATGAAATGTCTCTGTTTGTACCTCCATGTGACGGCTGTCATTACAGTGATTTACCACTAGCGGGTTGAATTTCCGATTACAGATTCCAGGGGCTCCTGGGTTTATGATGTCCTCGTCACACAGCCTTTCGTGGTTATGTCTCCGTCTTCCATAGATTTAATAAGAAAGTCTTGTTTCATCATTCTGACATACGGCGTTAAAGCAACAACAGGAACTAGTTGTCACGCAGTGTTAAATGCGGAAGACGACTTAGTTGTACGCCATACATTGAATTGTGCTACATTTACTTTCTTTCATCTGTGTTGTTTTTTTTTTTTAGAATTTTCATGGCCCAGATTGTGATGTTACCAATGCGTTAGCATCAGTGAGGGCTAAGCTAGGTGTACAGTTTCTGACTTATGTCGAGCGTTAGCATCAGTGAGGGCTAAGCTAGGGGTAGAGTTCTGACTTAAGTCGAGGTGAAAATAGTGTTGTTTTTCAGTAACATAAATAGAAATGGAAAAAATCTGTTGCGTAAACATTCAGGTGATGTTGATATGTAGTTGCGCTCACCTTGTATATTTTCCGTACATACATACTGTATTGCTTCAATGTGGTGATCTCTTACAACTTCAACATCTTGTCAAAGCGAGTTAACTGTAAATAGAAATGATTACAGACGCTCCACTTGTATCCTCGGCATCGCAGCTGAACAACGTACCGTCACTGTCATTTTAACCGAGGGCACAGGTTGACATTCGCAATGGAGGTCAAAGGTCAAACACTGCTTAATAGAATCCCTAATTGGACCCGATCATTTAAACACGACTCCTCATTACCCCATGACGCCAGCATAGTATTTATTCAAAAAGTATTTATTGCATGTGTCGCTGTGTTTGTGATGAACTTGTATTATTAAAATATTATGTAGTACTACATCAAAACAAAACAGAGACAATACTTAATTGGGTCTGCTTTCTTAAATTCAAATACCGGAAAAGTCCTTAAGGAATGGACACACTACCCCTAGAGGAATCAATAACTTGATCAGCTTCTTGTTTTAAAGACAACATTTATATGACTCTATCCTTTCATTTATTTGGTTGAATTAAGAGACAAAAGAGTGATTCTGTCCTAGTATTTACATATATATATATATATATAGTGAAATATATTTTTAGTTGTTATTTGTGGTCCATTATTCAGTTGTACTTTATTATATTACATGTCCTATTCTTTGATTACTGTCACCTTTCTCCCATCAGTCCTGGGACGGAGACAAATCACAGTTTCTTGGTAATAAATCACTGCAGATAATATGCAAATGTTCAGGGACATATCCCTGAAAGACTGATGTCTGTGGAGCTGAAAATTCTGCAAAGATTGTCAAAGACAGAACCATAAAAATGGCAGAAGACATCGCCAGACAGCAAATTAGAGTTCGGCTGTGGTCTACACAGTTGCCTGTGATGAATATAAAGACAAAGGTGATATTAAACAAATAGCGCTGTTTTGACAGCATGTACAGTAAACTCTGCTGCTAATGAATGATTGAGTTGATACCACTCATAGGCCGAACGCAGAAGGACTTTGTGGCCTTAGAGCAGAAGTTGCTGGACAGGAAGCCGCTGACATTTCACTGCACTCCGCACCAGGAGGCACTGAGGGCTCAAACATTTCCTCAAGAATGCACAAAAGTAATGAATGTTACATTTTCTGAGCCGGAACGATGAGACTGGCTGGAAAAGCTGCACTTCATGGTAGACATAACGTGCTAAAGGACGCACAGCCCTGGACATCCTTTGGAGGACGTTTTGGCATTGGAGCCCAAGTTGACAGTGCATGAAATTTACATCAATTGGTTTGATAAAAGCATCACATTATAGTGTGTTTATACATTAAAAAAAAGGCAAAAGAAAAACCCCTGGTATATGCAGTGTTATTTCATTTTGAAATGTCAAAAAGGTTTTGTGGCTCCCAGAGTTCTCTTTGCTGTGGGAAGCGGGTTGAAATGGCTTTTGAGAGGCAAAGGGCGCCGACCCCTGACCTCTAGAGAGGAATCAATAATTTGATGTTGTTTTATCAGCTTCTTGTTTTAAAGACAACATTTATATGACTCTATCTTTCATTTATCATTTGGTTGAATTAAGAGACAAAGAGTGATTCTGTCATAGTATTTACATGTATGTAATGAAATATATAAATATATATTTAGTGGTATTTGTGCTACATCATCCAGTTGTACTTTATAATAAATCATCTCTGTGGGAATATGAGGAGAAAGAAGAACAACGTTGTTTTCTCCTCCCTCCTCCTCCTCCTCTTCCCTCCTCCTCCTCTCCTGGTTCTTCAAATGAGACTGGTTTAATTTTAGCCTCTTTGACAAACACTTGACAAGAATCATTTCCAGAGACCAGACTTCTTCCAGAGTTCCATGTCATTTAGGCTCATGTGAACCCACCTCCACCCCCACATTCTGTGAGGCAGAGAGGAACACTGTATTCTGAGCTTTAGTTCATGGGCAACAAGTCCACTACACCTTCTGACCTTTACCAGCCTCTCATCTGAGCTTCCTCTTCCTCCTAACTCCTCCTCCACCTCCTCTTCTCCTCTGCCTTCTCCTCCTCCTCCTTCTTCACTCTCTAAAGTCCTGGTTCTCACATCTTTATCAAGCTGATCATGGTAGAAATCTGACAGTCGGGGTACGAGTAAAACAACTGAATCATGTGGGTGCAGCTTAATATTTTGCGGCTTTTGAATCAGAATTTGTTTATTTTGAGACACGTCCATATTTGGGCGGATTATAAAACATGTTAATTTTTGAAACTGACTGAAGGAAACTGAAGAAATTTTGTCGCAAACAAGTGGACAAAGTCTTCACTTGATTTTCTCTCCCAACTCCGTCGCAGCTCATCACAAACAGTACCGTATTTTCCGGACTATAAGTCGCACCAGCCAAAAAACACATAAGTCGCACCACTGCCCTCTAGCGGCTGTCAGTGTGAAAATAACAAACGTACATTGTTAGTGGTACACGAGTAACAGATACTGGTACACAAACCTAGAGTGCCCTCTAGTGTCTGTCAGTGTGAAAATAACGAACTTGTGAAATTATATATCTTAATATATTAGTCGCACCTGAGTATAAGTCGCAAACCAAAGGATGAAAAAAAAGTGTGACTGATACATGTCCTGGTGTAAAGACCGGTCAGTAAATCTGTTGGGACAACATTTCTTTTCTTCTTTTTTTTTTCTTCTACGTGAAGATCGGTTTGTGCAGCCATCCTAAGGGAACGTCAATAAAATCAGTAAAAAGAGCATCAGGTCTGACAGCTGTGCAGTTTCTCTTTCAGAATCTTCAGTCGTTCTTCACCGGAGACAAGTGTACTGATTTCACACAGTTGTTAGAATGCTGATGTGTTCTACGGTGGTTCTCAAGGAAAGAACCTCATCTGAACAAAAACAGGACTTCAGAGTCAGACATCAGGTTTTTCCCCAAAGATTCTTTTACCTTCAGGGTGTGATTCGAGTTCTGATTGTTCTGTCTTTTTATGTAGACACAAATATTTCCCCTCCAAAAAAACACTCCGATCCACGCCTCCTCCCTCTTCTTGTGCTGCATCATTATTGCAGAACTGCAGTTTTCGTCTGTTCTGTCAGCAGATACTGGAACAAAGTTTTAATTACACCCAGTCTGTCAGTGTGACATTTAATTATTTCATTGAAAACATGTTCAATATTATATTTAATAGACTATAACAAGATTGTTTTTACTCACTGATGTTAACAGACGGAAAGTTAATAGTGTAACGATGTCGGCAGCAGAGTTTGTTCAAAGTCCTGAAACCAGACTCACGTGGTTTTGTCCGTGTTCTAGTTTGTATTTATTCATGATCAATTGTATTTATTTTTTCGGAGACAAATGTAATGCCAACAAAGGCTGTTGATTTTGTTTGGTTTGTGTTTTGAAAATGAAACAGTGTGAAACAAAAAAAAAAACAAAGGCAGTGAGGTTGACCACTCACCTTTTGTTCTAATGATCAAAACAAAGTGAAAACACGATGTGAAATGTAATATTTTGTTCAGCTCTTTGTCCATTTTCTTTAAATGTCCTTTTTTTTTTTTCCATTTAAAGTCAATATCACTAATAATAAGACTTGATCCCAGTCCCCAACACAAAGACACAAATACAGGAAGTACTATACTGTAGTAGTATATAACTACTACACTATAGTACTTCCTGTATATACTTGAATATCTGGAACATTTCATGGTTGTTACTCAACGCAAAAGCAAAGTAAAAATTTTGAATTTCATCAGTTTGCTCTTTATGTATATTCACCTGACATTTCATCGTCATTGTTGAATACATCATATTCCTTTGTTCCAAACATCACTGAGAGTTTAGGGCTTTTGATGAAATGTTTCATCTCTTCTTAATCTCCAATATTTAAATATGTTTGATCGTCACCTGGTCCACGTGGTCATCGAAGGACGCTGTGATGTGTTACTGTATGTTCTGACCTGACCTGAACCTTTTCTCTTGACCCCACAGGCTGACTATCCAATCAGAGGAGAGATCGTTCTCTCATCTACTGACCTCCAACTGGTACTTCAGGTGGAACGCAATCAGTAAGTATTCCCTCTCTGTCATCGTCTGTGCCGGGGCTTTAAACCCATCATTACCTTCTCAGTCCTGTCCTTGAAAGTACTGGAATTAACTGGGAGACCGAGGAGTGACTGTAGAGTGAGGTGATAGTAGAGGAAGTCACAGCTCCTCAGTCTCAGGTCGGTCTGGAGAACTCAGCACCAGGCTGAACAATCTTCAACATCTGATCATGTGTTTGGAATATTGTCTTCATGAATAATGGAAAAAAAGAAAGAAAAGAAATCCATTAGTCATGAAAGAAAGGATAAGGAAAAAGAATTGTCTTCATGAATAATGGAAAAAAAAAAAAGAAATCCATTAGTCATGCATGAAAGAAAGGATAAGGAAAAAGAGGAAGACAAAATGAAATGTCAGTGTTAATATCAGAATCGTCCTCTCTGTAAACAACAACAACAA